TCATCATCATCATCATCATCATCATCATCATCATTATATGTAACTTTGTAACTAAACCATTTTTATCATCCCAAATCATAACAATCCTTAATATCATCACAATCCCCATTATCTCCATCTTTATTTTAACATGGCTGATGTCCATGGATCATCACCATTATTAAAATATGGTAATTGTCTTGTGTTTATGACCTCACTATAACGCCTATCAAAGAAACTTAAGTCTACATATTCCTACAGTATTCTAAATATTTTGGAACTATCATTCCCAGCACTTGATCATTGAACTTCCAATATAAAGAAAGATTCAAACTGAACAATTAAGTAAGTCTGGTATTAACTGTTTTCCTTCATATGACAGTAAATTCTATAATAATATTTGTATTCTACATTCATTTTAAAGTAGATTTTCAATGTAAGGTAATGTATTGTTTAGTTTTATTGAACAATGCCACTGAAATTAAATCTGAGATAACCACAGTTACTCTAATTGACTACTCTGCGTGAATTTTGGTAGACGACGTTCGTCGCTCTATCACCCTCAACGTCTACAAATAGATTACTTGTGCACGGAGCATGTAAAGTTCATTGCATAATGATGCGAGACAATTAGAATATTCCTGTTAGTTATCCGTTTTTCATTACTGTCCACTATCTCCTAGCAAATCATTATGCACAGATAGCCAGTCTATAACACATTATTATAAATTATCCATACTTTCTTAACAAATTAGTATAATGATAATATTAATTTGTATTGCGCTCATTCAGATATCTAGAAATTGGCTCAAGGCATAACAACAAGTGCAGTAGCTTCAGTCTATATTGTATAACAATACAATTAATAAATTCACAATCAGAGTGTTAACAGTAATGACATTTACAGTATAAATTCCACAAGCTTTCACCTCTTTAAAAGAACCATGTCATTTGAAGAAGCCACAGTTGCAATGAAAATTTACAAAATATTTAAAGTAAATATCATTAGTCATAACGTTCCTGTATTTATAGAAACTACTTAATAATGTTGTTTCAGTAAATATTTTCAAAATAAGCATTAAAAAGCAAGACTGGCAATTAGGGATTTATATACTGTACCTTTCTTACTATTTTTATATTAAACTAAAATTGTGTTAATTATCATTATCATACTATTTGTATGCATAGCCTTGTGCTGCTTTAAGACATGAGCCTATAGAAAAACAATTATTGTGAATTAGCTAGATCTGAGATTGAGTTTAGTTACTCTTATACTTTTGTTCCTAGATAAACAGTGCTGGACAGTATTTCATCAAATCTAACATTTAACATTGAAGTGATTAATGTTTTCTTCTTTTTTAAGAATAATTTCCAAGAAAGTTGTATTAAAAGCATATCCTACAGTGTCTTGGATATTACCTGCGTCTGAGACAACATTTGTTTTCATTACTCTCTGTTGTCACTACTCTACTTAGCCAAACAGTGGCAATTCAGTGTACATTAATCAATACTTCTTGATATTGGGTAATTAATGTCAAGAAATGGTCCAACCAGATCACTTGTAATACATGTTTATACATGTGTGGGTCTGAGACAATGTTTGTTACCATATTCATTAATGTTATTTGTCACAAACTGTCGCTAAACATTGTGTTTAGAATTTCAATTGTACTTATCGCAAATGCTTTTTTGACATTAATGGGTAATAATATTTGATAAAATATACATATTGTTCGATTGTGAATTCAAACCATGTTATAGATTCATGCTTTTCTCTGACTGTATCTACAGTAGGAGTGGAACTGTTGCATGTTTAAGATCTTGCTTAGACAAGGCTTATTTATATCTTGTTTAGCGAACACTCTGACCGCCAATAATTGGGATTTAACAAAAAAGAATAAAATGTTATTTTTGGCCAGTAGGCACATGAATGGAAATTACATTAAAAAAAGTGTAATTATTTATTTTTATTATGCCCTCCACTCCCTGGAAATCAAAAATTAAGATAAATTTATTTCTTGCTTTAATTGTATAAATTTATTCATCAAAATATTTTTTAAAATTTTCTCTTCTTAGTTGCTTTTTGCAAAATCTTTTTGCTAAATAAGAAAACAACATTTTATTTTTATGTTTTTCCCACCCTCCTCTGATGATTTTTAAAATAATTCGCTGAACAAGGTAATTAATAAGTCTTACCTTTACAGACTAAAAAAAAAAACTAACTTCACTCCCTAGCTGTTGGATGAAAAGGAAATAACATTAAGAAAAAGAAATAACATTAAATAATATCTAATCCTGCTTCCATTACATCACCTAGTAATATTATGCTTTAATTAAGCAACATTAATTTGTGTATACAAAATATGAAATTTTCCTACTGTTTCAAATAGATCTGTATAATTATATTAGCCTGGTACTTTGTGCTTTCGTACCTAATCCATAATTCAGAAGTGAGTTTTAACAGTTGAATAATCAATATAAAGGTGTCAACCACCTGAGAGAAATGGACATCAAATGCTCATCTTATATTGATACATGTACACTATTAAGTTTATAGAGCTAGTCTAATATAGCTACATACTACAGTATCTGTGTCATATAGGATATTTAGCTGTGTACAGATATATAGCTACCAGGTACTCTATAACCTGTACAACAGGCTTCGGGTCAATTACAATGAAAATATTAATTACATTTTCACTGTAGTTAATTACATTTTTCACAGTATTGATTACTATACATTTTCAGTGTAATTGATTACATTTTCACTGTAATTGACCCCATGAATGCTGTACCGGTACAATGTCTATAACCCTGGTTTCTTAACCACCAGACGGCAGTCCAAGATTTGGACTGCAGGGTTAAGATGAATCCCTGGTAGGGGGCCAAATGGGCTAAGCCCACTGGTGTCTAAAAAAAGTGGGCAATTATTAGACCATTTTGATTTAAGCCCTTCTTACTGTAACATTTGAGAACAAGCCCAAAGAATTAATAATTGAATGTGGATTGGCCCCACATTTAACAATTTATCCTTTCACTCAATAATACTATTACTATGATTGGCAGTCCTACAAAATTGTATTCTACAATAGCACATTAGATATCATACACACACTTTATTGTTTAACAAACAAATATAGACCGTGACCATAATAATATCAGATCTTAATGTGTAATCAGAAACTTATCATTTTTCAAATATGGTTAATTTTTTTGGTCAATGGTTTTCAATTTATAGAGCGCAAAATACGAAGAGTCTCTAGTCTAAGCGCTATCAAAAGGGAAGTGTAAAGATGGAATAGAAACCAAACACACAAAGTAATAAATGAAGTGAATCTTGAAATCCATGCCAACACCTAAATATAGAAATATAAACCTGTAAAACAATTATAATATTATAATTATTAAAATTACAGTTTAAAAAATTCTTAATATTGGTCCAATAATAAGTGTACATTAGAAATTGTTGATACATAAGAAATTGTTGATCCATTGCAAAGAAGCAAATTAAGTATCATATTAACTATTTATTAAACAATATACACTATTAATAAATTATTAGCAATGCAAGATGTTGACCAATTCCCAATGATCTATTAGTGTATTATGTCGATAGAACATTCTTAGGATTTTTCTTTTTACAATAAATTTCCTAAATGACATAATATATGGATCCTTTCATGCCTTGTAATTGTATTTACTTAAAAGTATGTCCACCAATTAATTTTCTCATATAGTACCTAAATCCAGCTGACTGTTTATACTCTGGAGACTATCTGGTTATCTTTAGTACTATGGTGCTCATTGTATGCCTTTTTGTCTGAGATGCTTCACATACATTTTTGAATTAATCTTTGAAGTGGTATTCATGCTAGATAAACAGGAGAGGGGTCAAGCCATTTCTTTATCATTTTCCAGATGCTATAATATATAACATATTATTTTATGTCTCCCTCCCCGTCTCCCTCCATTTCCCTAAAAGAGTATAAAGTAAGAAAGTATAGACTTACATACTCCAAGTATTAAAATGCTCACCATTGTGTTGGGATTCAATATTTCGACATTAATTATGTCATCATACAGTAATATAATCATACATAGGTACATACACCGTTGACCACCCTCCCCTAGTGTATTTGTACTGTTTTGTGAAAATTATATAAAGTGGATTCCTTTTATCAGCTTCAAAGTACAGTAGATAGGAATTTAATTTCATTCAGAATAATAAAAACGGTGTCATTAGCATACCTTAAAACCTCGAATTGAAGCCCCTTTTTAGTTTGCAAAAGTAGCCTCGAAAAAGAACCCATCATGAAAAGAAGCCCATGGGCTTCCTTTCAGGAAAGCTTGGGATGTTTTTTTAGATAGTACTGTACAGTACACACTGTACATAAATTTCTAAGAAACAAAATAAATGAAAAATAAAAATGAAAAATGAAAAATGGTTTATACAGGTAGTTTAGGTGATTTAATGCCGGTTGATACACTTTATGATACAGATTGATGTTACAGTGGCCCTATTTATTGTTTTATAATGGCAATTCTCAACATTTAAAGCATTCATTTTGGAAAGAAGCCCCATCTCTTTACTTTGCAAAAGTAAAAAGAAGCCCATCTCAAAAAGAAGCCCATCAAAGTTCGCAAAAAATAAAGAAGCCAGGTCTTCAATTCAAGATTTTATGGTATTTGACCACCATGCGAAGAGTATGTTCATCTGCAACAAATGTGAAGTAAGCATACAGTATTTATAGATGTACAGTATAATGATTCCTCTGTCTTTGGACTTAACATTTTGGAATGTCTAATTTCCACAACTGGTTGCACAAAGCCATGTGTTTTACTGTTATATTGGTCTACTGTGTATTAAAAAGGTCTGGCCTGTATACACAAATTCCAAACACTTAAACATTGGATTGTACCCTTGTGAGTGTATTGCAACAGCTTATTAACTGTTCCTTGTGAGAAGCGCGAGTGTGCAGTAATTTAGTTACAATACATTATGCAACGTTTGGCATGCTAATTCTAATAGTGTGTCTTGATATGTGGATTGCATGTATTCAAACTCGTCTACTGGTAGAAACCCATTATAACTATCACAGAGATATACCCACCGGCTATTGATTTCACATAGTCCAACGAGTCGAGCTCATTCACCGACTACACAAATGAGCGAATTATTAAAATGCACGGTAGAGCAGGTTTGCGACGATTGATATCATTCAGGATAACAATGACGAGACAGTGAGGAGGAGGTGCAAGAGGAGTAGTAGTAGCAGAAGTAGTAGTACCAGTGGAGGCCTAGATTTTCAACGATCATTATTCTTACTTGGATTTTAGACAATTATTACATTAACTCATGAAAATGATAGCAGACTTTGAGTGTATCTATGAAGTGAGCCCCAGTAACAATGGTAAGATTCTTGCCGGTTTTCTTTAAAGGAAGAGTCCTTTTTATGCAATCTGTATCATTATTTTCCTCATTTGTATTCATAATCAGTTGATAGTATACTTGGTATTGAAGCCATAGATATTTTATGATGTCATAAATTATGTGTATTTTGTGTATAGTGTTAGCAATTTTAAGGACTGAATGATCAGTAATGACTTTTTAGAATGCTTGGTTGCTTAGATGTAAATCCAGGTTGGTTCAACTGTGTATCGCTTGGTTTAGTCAGTCCTTATTAATTAAAAAAATAAATGATAATAATAAATGACAACATTAAAGCACAATTGAAAGAAGGTTTCAAAGCACTACAGTATGATTGGGAGTGTTGATATTATACTGTATATTATAATATTGTACAGTACCATATAGTCATTCATATTAAATTATTTTTGTTGTTTATCATACTATTTATTATGTTAATGGCAGGACAGCAGCTGTGGCCTTATACACATTTTGACTCATTGCCTGTTAGAATACCTCGATAAATAATGTCCTAAAGCTAAATACTTACATATCAAATATGTATAGAATACTGTAATCTCATTGGAATAATAAGAATTGAATAAGTGGGATCTTTTTTAGCTCCCATGTTTCCTACCACTGTATTCTGTATCATATTCAGTATAAATACATAGGTCTTTATTCTTATTTCCAGCAATTCTGCCACCGTTTTATTATTCATTTTAGTAGTCTAATTTTAATAAATACCTGACCTAGAGTATATTACTGTATAGCTGTGAAGATTTTGCTTTATGTATTTATAGTAAACCTCATTTATCATCTTGGAATATCAGGAATCCTCCATCGTTGGAATTTGTAGCTTTTTTTATTTTGTATGTTTCATCTTGCAATATTTGTACGATGAAATATAATAATCAAGTCAAATAAAATCAAATGATAATGGCGATGATATCATAAAACTTTATTTATCTTCTCCTCAAACACGCTCTAATTTAAATCTTCTAATTCTGCTAATATCTTTGTATTCACACCAGTACAACTAATACCATAATAATTTGTAATAAAAAGAGAATCATCGAAATTGAATGTGTTTATTCAACTATGATACAGAATAGCATACATGATGTTGTACATGATCAAACCCCTATAGGCTATTAATGTATTAGTCATCTGAGCAGTAAACTTCATATGACTTTTGGAGTCAAGTCTTGTGTATCTTACAAGATACTACTTTTCTTCAGCTATAATGCTGCTGGGCTGTTGATGAGTATTTTCAATTAACGAGGTTCTTTTTGTCATGCGTTTTGCATATTGGGGTCAGTTGAGTCATTTTGCTAGGGGAAAGCACGTTTTCATAACTTCCATGTTGAATTCAACATTCAAGATTTCAACATTTTTTATTAACAATGAAATCTAAAATGCTGCAGGGAGTAAATGAAGCTCAAATCAATGCTATTGTTTGATGTTCAACCTCTGTGTGGATACCAATGAATTATTTAGTAAATTAGTAACCTATAGAACTTTAGTATCAGCCTACAATCAATCATCAGTCAATCAATCATTGATTTATCAATCCATTGCACAATCAAATTGCCATTTATTAAGTATCTTTTATGTGGATCAATCATGTTCTCTTTCTACAAATAATTATTTATTTAAATGTTTATATTTTTGAAAACTTTGTCACGATATATATAAATAGATATTGACCAGGGTGTGACTAGAGATGGCATACTGTAGGCTAAGCCCAACACAACAAGTGGTAATCTCTAAACCCCTAGAACTATGTAATTATTCAATTAGTTGCCCCACCGCGAATAAACACCCCCTACTATAAATGACTATAAATATATCTATTGGAAGCAACATCATTCTAAACATAGTGAAATTAAGGGGCATTTATTTCAGTATACATATCAATTTTACATTTAAAAAAAATAAACACCTCTCTTGAATAAATGCCTCCCTCGATTAACCACCCCCTCAAAAACTCTTCTCAACTATAAATGCCCGGAGAATTTATTCAAATAGATATGGTGTATATATTTTTATTTTATAAACAATTTGTTTTTTATTTTGAACAGTTATCTTTAATATATTGTTGTGTAATATACTGTCATACAGTAGTAGATTGAAAGTAGAATTTCCTAGCCTTAAGTACAGTAGCTTTCTTCTGTACATCATTGTGTTTACCCTAAACTTCGCGACAAACCATTAAGTGTCAACTGAGATGTATTATAAGCCTAGGACTTAGGAATCTTGTGTACAATATGTATTTAATATGTTTATCAATTCCACGTAACTCTATGCTCGGACAGATATGAATAATTTGGGTATTATTCTCTACAGCTTGATATGCTTGATAAGACAAATGATCACAAGACAGTCATATTATTATCCTTAATTCTACAATTTGAATACTATATCTTCTCCAGTCAAGATTTTTCTGTAATAGTCTTTATAACAAACGATCACGGTTTAATGATGGTCGTAGTCCATCCATGAATATAAGTAGGTTTGTGTTTGATACAATGTTAATATTTTTTAAAGAAATGAGATCTCTAAACGAGGAAATTATAGGGTTATAGCCAACAGGGGAAACAATATGTCATATAATATTAATATTGGTTTTTTTTTTATTGGTTATTAGTATTTTTCAGTGGATACACAAACAAATGATTCAGACAATATCAAAATAGCAATCTTTTTTTTATGAAAAACTGTTAATTTCCTCATAAAATTTTGAAGAAAGAAGATGGCCATTACAGGTATTTAATTTACAAAAAATTTTACTTTGCTAAACAGTACCTTGTTTGATATAATACTGTTCTTACAGTGTTTACTGTATAAACATACTATACGTATAGACATGAATGCGTCTTGAGCAATTCGTAGGTCAATAAAAACTCATACAATGAGGGCACATGTATGAGCCTCCATATTTTCTGGGATCTTACATTTTATAGTAATAGAGATTTCATGGATGAAATGATAATATGAGGCATGTTGTGGCGAAATGGTTAAGTTGTTGCACAGTCCAGTATTGAGTATTTTGAGCTACTGTATAAAATATGGGAGCTCAAAAAATTGCCAAAAAATCCAAATTTGTTTTTCACTATACTGTAGATCAACAGTTTAATGTCTTATTAATCATGTCCCAAAGTATTAGTTCTGGAAGTGGTTAACAAATTGTTTATTTAACGTTATTTTTCATAGTTCATTCTATTAAACAATGTATGCGCAAATAACTTTGAAAGGCAATTACTCAAAATCATGTTTATCTTGACTCTAAGAGTACTGTACTTTCACTTTCGAATAACTTAGGCTTGAAATGTCCAATTTGAATGAATGACCCCTCATTTTAAAGATCACAAACTCAGGTATCTAAAAATACCAATATCTTGAATTTCAGTTTTTGCTACAACTTAGCCATTTTGCCACAACATGCCTCATATTTAGGTGACACCACCCTAGGGGGTCCGAGGGAATTTTTGTTTTCTAGACGCCCGAAAATAACCTCTGGGGCGTTTTGGGCGATCAGTTTTATTTTTTTCTTTCTTTTTTTTTTGTTTTTTTTCTTAACCTCTCCAAAAGGGGGGCCTTTTGGAGATCTCATAAATGTAGCCTTCTGAAAGTAAATTAATGCAAGTGCTTCACATCGGATCCAAAGCGAAATTCATGTTTAGGATGGGCTGAATGCCAGCACACTGATTCACGGTTCGGTAGGCCTTCTGATCTAAATGTTCGGATACAATGTGGAATAAGACTTGGTGCAGAATTATTTTACTTTTTTATCATTGTACTTGTCTGACATGTTAACAATTATTTGTACAGTAAAATTCAGTTTTCAGTTGCTTAAATGTTCATGGTTAAGGTATACTTGACTTCCAATGTTTGGTCCTGGGTTTTGGGGTCCTGGGTTTAAATTCTTGCTTTGATGTTCAACAGGTTCCTCAATATAAAAATATTTAAATAGCAAATTTTTTTTTTTTTTTAATAATTTTAAAAGAACTTATATAGTTGCAGCCTATTTGTTAGGGAAATACTGTAATATTTTAAATTAGAGTGTAATGTTTTACAATTTTTTTTTATAAGAACCAGTAAAATTTTGCCCAGGTTCAGTGTTCTTATTTTTGGCCGATTTCAGGTTCAAAATGTTCTTATTTTACACAATTTTCAAACATAGAAAATTATTATTGTACAGCAGTATACACTGTATTGGAATGTTGGTAAAAGTTGCCCCGGAAAAAAATGGCCCTGAAAAAAGGGCCCCAGAAAAAATTCCCCACTGAAAATGGCCCCAGATGACAGGTACGGTAAGTATCTACTGCAGGGCTACTGTTTTTGGTCACACCTACACATAAGGTACAATTTTTAATTTTTTTTTTTTTGGTTTTTCTAGTTTTAAAAAATAAAAATCTCATTTGATGTTGATGTTTTACCTCAGCCTCAATTTGTTCTTATTTTGTTCTTAATTTTTAAACAATTTCAGCCTCAGTGTTCTTATAAAACGTGTTCTTATAAAAAAAAATGTATAGTGAATTCATCATTTCACTATAATAATTTCTAATGTTTCATCAACATAAATTATAGATCTTGTTTTATAAAAAAAAAAGAAATGAAAAATCCAATATCATAATTGATTCATGATTTTTTTCTCCAATATTTGCTGTACATTCAACCGTTGCTTATTTTGTATCCATTCAAAAAAAGAAAATATTGAGCTGTGTTTGAATAAATTTGAGATAGTAATGTATCATCTTTATATCTATAGTAATTTTGTATCCATTCAAAAAAAGAAAATATTGAGCTGTCTTTGAATAAATTTGAGATAGTAATGTATCATCTTTATATCTATAGTAGTAATGTACACAAGGACAAATTGCTAACCTACAATTACTTTAATTGCCAGAAATTGTGCTTTAGCCCCTGCTGCTGTACACCTCTGGAGGTTGCCAGGCTACCAATTCAATTTACCAAATGGCGTGTTTACTTTGGCTATTG